AAACGGATCCGTTATGAACTAATAATCGTCAATGGTAAAACCTACTGAGTTTTTATAATTTTTAATTCAACATACAAATAGTATTTTAAATAATTTAAAGAGAATACCTGTATGTCCAACTTTGTTACCACATATTAGGTATTCTCGTAGATGTATAAAAATGCAACTTACCTAGCTGTCCTTTCCAATTTTCCTTCTTCGTTCCTTTTGAGTACAAACGGAAGTCGATTGGAGACAACGATCATACTCCCCGTGGAGGTCACCACATCTATAAGTAGTTTAGGAATCATAATTGATTTTCAATAACAATACAAAGACGCAACAATTTTGTTAGTAAATGTGAAGTAAATTAGGTCGGTTTATTAAAATCCACTACTCGTTATCATGGAAAGGATTAGATACTTCGATGGAACACTGAACATTAGCAAAACAAAACTAAAGAAACTCTCGCAATTGAAGATGCTTTTAATCAAAAAAAAGGAACAAAGATCGAGATTGAATAGCAAGCACTGGTCAGGGTTATCTGCTCTTCTGGCCTCTAAATATTAAAAGTGTTGTTTTCGATTAATTTGTATTTGGACACAAACGTAATGCGTCAAATAGTCGGCTCGAATGATAACCAAGAACGCTTGGGTATCATTTTTTCCCGCTTTACATATCGTTAGGCATGTAGCACCTTACATAACAAAACTGTATCTACTGAAAAACGTGACAATTCTTAAACACTTAAATAAGCGTACATGGTCAAAAAAAAGAACTCCTACAGGCTCCCCCCTGCACTATAAACGTAAACATCATAAACAATCTAATCTACTTAAAACAATCCTAACAGATTAACAAACAATACCAAACTAAGAAATACATCACTTTTCTTTTTAATTCTCTGTGAAAAAGAATAAACTAATATGCTAAAATGTAAAATTCTGTGTCCATTCAGTACAAATACAAATTAGGACGATGAATTAAATAAAATTAACTCATTCAAAATCTATAAAATTTTAGATCAATATGTAACAGACATTATTATTGCTTAAACCTTGTCAATGCTTTTATGGTTAATGTATGGTATTAGTTTTAATTAGTTACTTCCTATCGGTGGAATTCGGGAGCCAAATTTCATTAAAAATACACATTGAACGTCATCGAGACAAAACATTGGTGAATAAACTCATATCACTATATACACAGTTTAATCTTAATGAATAATGATTATTTTTTTTATTATTTAAATATTAACTTAAAATTCCGGTATTTTAATATCACATTTTTAACCATGTAAGTGATATGTAATAAAACCAAGATAATGGAGTAAATAAAATCATTATACCAGAGGTATGCAATCAATGAGTGGGATTTATTATCCTTAATTATCATTATCATTATATTAATACGTGAACGTCGAATTTTATCTAATGTTTCTTCGGTATTTAAAAAGGAAGATTATATATTCTATTTTATTTTTTGAAAATCTACCATTTATTCGATGTGGATATTGCTCTTTAAGGTTTACAATTTATTATATTCCTAGTTTACAAGTATCCCTTTTTCCCTAAATTCCCCTTCAATAAAAATGTTTTGAATAAGATTCTTAGAGCCTTAGTAACAAATACTTCACAAATTCACCAACATAATTACAAAAGCGGTTACCCGAAATCTGTAGCAAAACCCATGGATGTTTAATGTAATATCAGAAAGTTCTACATTAGGCCACGCTTTCACACTCACTCCTAATAATTTTGAGATAGGCTTATCGGTAAGACAAGTACGTACTTTGTTGAAATGCAATCTGCACTCAATAAAACAGCTTCAGGAATTCCGTCGCAGTAATTTTTATCCTAGGGATGATTAAAGATCAGGACGTCCTAAATTAAACTCATGCGCTAATTGATATGGTAGTATAAGATGGAAAAAATTATTAACGAAAAGTACCTACTTTTTCATAAAATTTTACAAGAAATTTTTAAGAGTACGAAAAGTCTGTACCTCGACCCGATTAGAAATTAGTTCAGAGAACCCGGATTATGATCAGATGCGGATCAGATTTTCCGTAATACGGGCATCTGATCAGTTTCTGATCAGAGTACAGTACTCTATCCGTTGATCCACCCATCTGATGAGTTTCTGATGAGAGTACAGTACTCTATCTCTTGATCCAACCATCTGATTAGAAATTGATCATAATAAAGTATCCTATCCCTTAATCCAGTCATCTGACCAATTTCTTATCACAATCCAATGCTACAAATTCTATTACGATTTCGGTACAATCTTTAAATCAAGATTTTATCCGATGTTCTGAACTGGATCATAATACAGAACTTTATTTTTTACCTGATTTATTCTGTATGCAATATTGTTCGTCAAACAATGAACAAATCATGCGTGAAGATTTAAAAGACCATGGAATCACGTTTAAAGATAAAGAATTTTATGATGCCGTAGGTAGAATCATAAATAATGTCAAATATTGGAATAAAGAAAATAAAAATAATAAATAGTTACTGTTTGGAACATATTTAAAGTGTACTTGAGTTCATTAATAAAATTAAGGTAAAATGATAATATTGATTATTTTATGCCAAATTAATAAAAAGAAAAAAATAATCCTGATCCTTTAAACGGATCCGTTATGAAACTTTTGGCTGGATCGGGAATGGGTCTGTTGAATAGGTCCAGTATGGATNAAGGTACCTCCCTACCAATTTTCAGCCAAATCGCTTCAGCCGTTCTTGAGTTATAAATAGTGTAACTAACACGACTTTTTTTATATATATATGTAGATTTTGAAATAATCAGTTTTTTTACAATTTACACTAAGTACATATTTTTAAATAAAAACTCAAAAAATAACTAACCTTTTCAGACTTGAGTCCAGCTGTTGGGGTGATATCATCCGGTCTCGATTCCGGGATTGGCTCGTTAGGATCTTCCAAATGGATTCCTGGCCAACCAACCCACAAACCATTAGTATTAATTACAACGGGTGCAACTGCAGTAACTAACCCACCGGCGCTAAAAAAAAAGATGGTTTCTAGTGCAATAGTTAAATAGAACGCAATAGTCTTACATTGCTCTTCTGTAATTATTCTTTACTACAGTATAAACTCTGTATAGTGACACTTAAGGGATTGCGCATCTATGGCGTTATTGAGAGTTGTCATTAAATGAAGATAAGAAAAATCAATTTTATTTTACTATTATAATACACAATGCATTTACTAATAAAGTATTTTCTTTTACTAGCCATGTTCACAGTTTGAATGTTTGTGAGCAATTAAGAATGTGATAACGTGCCTATAGATAATGCTTAACAACCTAACTTAACGACTCCTTTGATCTAAAAAAATCAACGTTCTTTGCGAATTTCTTAGAATCTTCGGTACGTATGATGTCGATAATCGAGACAAATATTACCTAGAAAGTACTTTTTATTGCTTAACAATGATTTATTGTTGTTATTTAGAGTGGATGTGATGCTACGTAGAGTGTATCATTGTATGGACAACAATGTAAACCAACTAGAGTCAAGTCATTTCGATGTTTTAGGGAGTCTGTCGTTAAATCGATACTCCTTAAATAGAGTTTATACTGTATTTAAAATTACCATAATTGTTTGTAGATTACACAATATTCTGACTTGCATTGGTTACAAATTTTAGTCAAAGCGTGTGAAACAGATTTAGAGAATGCAGAAGTTTCTATTTTGATTTAGATTCGTGTACCAAAGAAAAAAAAAAGAAGCAGAAAATAAAAGAATGACTTGAACGCCCTTATATATGACAAAATTTAGAAAACATTGTAATGCTCAGCTAACATATTTATTGGTAAGGTGCAATAAAAATATTCCAGTTACATTGGCATTAATTAGGTCGATAATATACTTAATTGGAATAAGGATTCTGGTGCTTGTTGCAAATTAGGGACTATTCTAACTTCAGTTGGCCATGGTTAAGAGTTGTAGGTTAGGTTACTCATAAGAAGATAATGTTAGAGAGTAGGAACGAAGATATGTGTCATTTTATTAACTGATTTTTACAAGTGTTGGTAATATAATTTAAATATACTGACGTATAAAAGCCGACTTTAACACTTTGCCTATGGGTATGCACAAATTTTGATCTAAAAAGTTAAAAAAATCATCGAAATAACGAGGGTGCGTTAATTTTTCCATCTTTGGAAATAGAATATTTTCTTCAAATTTAAATAGGAGCGCCCTGGAAATATAACCTATCCTATAAATAAGAATCACTAAAATCAGTTCATAAAATTTGCGAAGAAATAGCGTAACAACATACCCAAAAAAAAATTATTTATCGTAAATAGAAGATGGATGGAAAGTTTCGTGGAATACTTTATTTATAATTTCGCCGTACAAGTTACAAATAGGAACTAAGTGCACTTGCATGAGCTTCTAAAGACGTGCTTCCGTAACTTCCTGCAAATAATCGCTAATGCGGAAGAACCTTCTCGAGGCATGACAGAATAGCAAACAATACAACTATTATCGTTTATGGTTAGCGTAAACGGTAACCTACGACACATCAGTCAGAAGTTTTACAGATAAGTAATTGCATTACATAAGATCCTTTCACGCGAATAATTGCTGATCAGTATGAATTCCAAACGAAACGTCTGCAATATTTATTTATGAGTGCAAGTTTATACATAACAAAGCATTCACGCTAGTGAACATACAAAAATAGAAAAATGTAAAGTATTCTGATCATGACCTTTTGAAGAGAATAACTTTCATTCATTAGTAGACATGAAGGTCTAGTCGGAAACATATTAGAGGCAGAAACAGGAGTTAGGAGGTAGACCTAGGTTAGATTACTGTTCGCAAATAGTTAAGGATGTGGATTGTTCTAGTTATAGGGAAATGCGAAGTTCAGCTCAGGATAGGAAAGAGTGGAACTGAGTGTCCAGTCTTAGGACTGATGACCTTATGATGATGATGATGATGATTAGTAGTCCCTTACAATTTCATAACAAAAGGGACTGCTCCATGCCACAGGGAACTGATTTCCTTAGTCTAACCTGCCAAATTGCGCATTAGCGACCATTAATATTTGCACTTAATACTCTAACAATGCCATTCAAAAACAACGGACAAATATAGTAGCAAAACCCTATAATTCAATACTTAAGATACAAACGACCTAAAAAGGACTTTAAAAAAGAAAAAAAAAAATACTAAATGAAAAAAGAAAAAGGAACAACAAAATTTAGTTAATGACATGAGTCCTCGTGAGCCCAAGATTGCAAAAAATACTTGGGGAGAGCATTGTGCTACTTATTGTACAAAGAAAAAAGTTATGAGGAAAGTCACAAGTACTATTATTAGGAAAAATCCCATGTAGGAACTGCCAGAGTTAACGATCGTTTGACTATAATACCCTCGGCTGATAAATCTTGGGCCAGCATACATTGACAGGGGATTTATTTTCTATACTTAAATTCAAATAAATTGATATCTAGGATTGTCAAATAAATATTGTGAGCAATATTTCACTTTTTATTAATTAAACAGCCATTAACAGTACTGTTCAAATTTGAAGAGTAACTAACACGACTTTTTTTATATATATATGTAGATTTTGAAATAATCAGTTTTTTTACAATTTACACTAAGTACATATTTTTAAATAAAAACTCAAAAAATAACTAACCTTTTCAGACTTGAGTCCAGCTGTTGGGGTGATATCATCCGGTCTCGATTCCGGGATTGGCTCGTTAGGATCTTCCAAATGGATTCCTGGCCAACCAACCCACAAACCATTAGTATTAATTACAACGGGTGCAACTGCAGTAACTAACCCACCGGCGCTAAAAAAAAAGATGGTTTCTAGTGCAATAGTTAAATAGAACGCAATAGTCTTACATTGCTCTTCTGTAATTATTCTTTACTACAGTATAAACTCTGTATAGTGACACTTAAGGGATTGCGCATCTATGGCGTTATTGAGAGTTGTCATTAAATGAAGATAAGAAAAATCAATTTTATTTTACTATTATAATACACAATGCATTTACTAATAAAGTATTTTCTTTTACTAGCCATGTTCACAGTTTGAATGTTTGTGAGCAATTAAGAATGTGATAACGTGCCTATAGATAATGCTTAACAACCTAACTTAACGACTCCTTTGATCTAAAAAAATCAACGTTCTTTGCGAATTTCTTAGAATCTTCGGTACGTATGATGTCGATAATCGAGACAAATATTACCTAGAAAGTACTTTTTATTGCTTAACAATGATTTATTGTTGTTATTTAGAGTGGATGTGATGCTACGTAGAGTGTATCATTGTATGGACAACAATGTAAACCAACTAGAGTCAAGTCATTTCGATGTTTTAGGGAGTCTGTCGTTAAATCGATACTCCTTAAATAGAGTTTATACTGTATTTAAAATTACCATAATTGTTTGTAGATTACACAATATTCTGACTTGCATTGGTTACAAATTTTAGTCAAAGCGTGTGAAACAGATTTAGAGAATGCAGAAGTTTCTATTTTGATTTAGATTCGTGTACCAAAGAAAAAAAAAAGAAGCAGAAAATAAAAGAATGACTTGAACGCCCTTATATATGACAAAATTTAGAAAACATTGTAATGCTCAGCTAACATATTTATTGGTAAGGTGCAATAAAAATATTCCAGTTACATTGGCATTAATTAGGTCGATAATATACTTAATTGGAATAAGGATTCTGGTGCTTGTTGCAAATTAGGGACTATTCTAACTTCAGTTGGCCATGGTTAAGAGTTGTAGGTTAGGTTACTCATAAGAAGATAATGTTAGAGAGTAGGAACGAAGATATGTGTCATTTTATTAACTGATTTTTACAAGTGTTGGTAATATAATTTAAATATACTGACGTATAAAAGCCGACTTTAACACTTTGCCTATGGGTATGCACAAATTTTGATCTAAAAAGTTAAAAAAATCATCGAAATAACGAGGGTGCGTTAATTTTTCCATCTTTGGAAATAGAATATTTTCTTCAAATTTAAATAGGAGCGCCCTGGAAATATAACCTATCCTATAAATAAGAATCACTAAAATCAGTTCATAAAATTTGCGAAGAAATAGCGTAACAACATACCCAAAAAAAAATTATTTATCGTAAATAGAAGATGGATGGAAAGTTTCGTGGAATACTTTATTTATAATTTCGCCGTACAAGTTACAAATAGGAACTAAGTGCACTTGCATGAGCTTCTAAAGACGTGCTTCCGTAACTTCCTGCAAATAATCGCTAATGCGGAAGAACCTTCTCGAGGCATGACAGAATAGCAAACAATACAACTATTATCGTTTATGGTTAGCGTAAACGGTAACCTACGACACATCAGTCAGAAGTTTTACAGATAAGTAATTGCATTACATAAGATCCTTTCACGCGAATAATTGCTGATCAGTATGAATTCCAAACGAAACGTCTGCAATATTTATTTATGAGTGCAAGTTTATACATAACAAAGCATTCACGCTAGTGAACATACAAAAATAGAAAAATGTAAAGTATTCTGATCATGACCTTTTGAAGAGAATAACTTTCATTCATTAGTAGACATGAAGGTCTAGTCGGAAACATATTAGAGGCAGAAACAGGAGTTAGGAGGTAGACCTAGGTTAGATTACTGTTCGCAAATAGTTAAGGATGTGGATTGTTCTAGTTATAGGGAAATGCGAAGTTCAGCTCAGGATAGGAAAGAGTGGAACTGAGTGTCCAGTCTTAGGACTGATGACCTTATGATGATGATGATGATGATTAGTAGTCCCTTACAATTTCATAACAAAAGGGACTGCTCCATGCCACAGGGAACTGATTTCCTTAGTCTAACCTGCCAAATTGCGCATTAGCGACCATTAATATTTGCACTTAATACTCTAACAATGCCATTCAAAAACAACGGACAAATATAGTAGCAAAACCCTATAATTCAATACTTAAGATACAAACGACCTAAAAAGGACTTTAAAAAAGAAAAAAAAAAATACTAAATGAAAAAAGAAAAAGGAACAACAAAATTTAGTTAATGACATGAGTCCTCGTGAGCCCAAGATTGCAAAAAATACTTGGGGAGAGCATTGTGCTACTTATTGTACAAAGAAAAAAGTTATGAGGAAAGTCACAAGTACTATTATTAGGAAAAATCCCATGTAGGAACTGCCAGAGTTAACGATCGTTTGACTATAATACCCTCGGCTGATAAATCTTGGGCCAGCATACATTGACAGGGGATTTATTTTCTATACTTAAATTCAAATAAATTGATATCTAGGATTGTCAAATAAATATTGTGAGCAATATTTCACTTTTTATTAATTAAACAGCCATTAACAGTACTGTTCAAATTTGAAGAAAAAGGAGAAATTATTTTAAAATTCTGAATTATATTATTTTTTTTATTAATAACGAAGAAGAAGAACCTGGATTGAAAAATGATTAATAGATATTATCATTGATAATAATTAGTAATAATCTATCTGTTAAT